GAGCACACGGGGAGGAGGTCCAGGTTGATCGCCAGCACTGCCTGTTCCGCTGGGCCTAGCTGGCTCTCTGCGTATGGCTGGAGAAAAGAAAAACAAAAACAAACAACAGAAATCCCAGAAATCATGTGAAGCTCTTGGTTTGATTGTTGGCACAGCATAAAAGAAAGAAAGGCAGGAGTGCTGTAGAGAAAAATGGAACCCTCTTCGCTTCTCATCCTTTTGGCCCAGATCAAGTGTAAGACGGAACCTTCGTTTTTGTGTTGGGAAGGTAAATTGGTTCAACCTCGATGGAGAACAGTTTGGAAAATTAAAAGTTGAAAGTAGAACTGCCATATGGTCCAGCAATTTCATTTCTAGGTATCTATCCAGCGAGCTCAAAATCAACTTAGTCAAAAAGATAAAGGTTGTACCTATGTTGATTGCAGTTCTGTTTATAACAGCCGAGATCTGGAAACGCCCTCAAGCACCCAGAGGCACATGAGTGGGTTGGGAAGGTGTGGAATACACACACGCAGTGGAGTGAACTCATCCATGAGGAAATGGGAAGTCTTGCTTTTTTTTTTTTTTTTGCTACATCTTGGATAGAGCTAGAGTGTCATGCTGAGTAAGTCAGAAGGAAAAAGACAAATTCCTGGTGATCTCACTGATTGGTGGTCTATAAAACAAAGACTCCATCGGACAATAAAAACACACATAGACTCTGACCACAGAACGGAGGTCACCTAGCGGGCGGGGCATAATGGGGGAAAGGAACAGTAGTAGGAGAATGTTGGCACCTTGCGGGTGGGTGTGATGCGGTACATTATTACTTCAATACATTTAAAAATAGATTTAAAATTTTTGCCTTTTGTTTTGGGGTCATATCTGGCAGTATGTGGGGAGAGGGCAGGTCAGGGACTAGTCAAGCCACCAGCAAGCCTAGGGCTTCCACAGGCAAGGCATGCTCCCAGCCCTTGGATTATTTCATTGTTCCTTTTTTGCATTATTTTTATTTTCAAATATTTTTTGTTGTTGTTGTTTTTGGGCCATACCCGGCGATGCTCTGGGGTAACTCCTGACTCCGCATTCAGGAATTACCCCTGGCAATGCTCAGGAGACCATATGGAATGCCAAGGGATCAAACCCAGGTCGATGGTGTGCAAGGCAAATGCCCTACCAGCTGTGCTATAAATTGCAAGAATTCTTTACAGATGCAAGTCTCTCACTGAAAATATTTTCTTGTATTCTAAGTATTTTCTCACTTGATTGTATTATTTGCTAACTTCGGTGTTAGTTCAATTTAGCTCTTCTTGTGGTATTTTCATGTAATTGATTTTGTTTGTTTTCAGATCTTCGTTTTTGTTTTGTTCTGTTTGGGGGCCATACCTGACTGTTCTCAGGGCTTTCTCCTGGTTCTCTGGCCAGGGATCACTCCTGCCTCTGCTCAGGGGACACACAGGGTGCCGGCATCAAACCCAGGTCAGCTGTGTGCAAGACAAGTGCCCGACCCACTATACTATCTCCCCAACCCCTCAATCCTGTTTTTTAATCCACAGTATCTCATCCCTACATATAGAGATCTTTTAAAATTAATTTTTTAATGTTTTTGTTTTTGCGGCCGCACCTGGTGATACTGAGGGCCTTACTTCTGACTCTGTGCTCATGTATCACTCTTTGGGGGGGGGCTGGGGGACCATATGGGGTGCCAGGGATTGAACCCCAGTTGGCTGCATCAAGGCAAGTACCCTACCCCACTGTACTGTCACTTTGTGTTGCTCCCCCCAGAGACTTTTTAAATTTTTATGTGTAAAATTCAACTGTAGACTCCTTAGGATGTATTTATATGTATTAGACTAGAGAACTGATGTTCACACCCAACAGTGCTCAGGGTTGACTCCTGGCTCTGCACTCAGGAATCACTCCTAGCACTGCTCAGGGGACCTTTTGGGATGTGGGGATCAAACCTGGGTTGGCTGCATAGAAGCTCTACTATCACTCTGTCCCCCCAAAATTGAGTAAGAATTCTAATAAATCAGGTGGTTTTTTTTTGTTTGTGGATCATACTTGGGGGTGCTTGCGGGATCATCCATGGTCTATTCTAGGGAGACCACGTGGTGCTGGGGATAAACAAGGCATTCTGTAAAGAAAACAGCTTTGTGAGGATATTCTCTTGCTGTTCCCTTGTCTGAACCAGTGGTTAGAAGCAGGATCGTTTTGTCTCCTGAGAGTTCGTTTGGCAATGTCTGGAGACAGTTTTGATTATCCTAAATTGGTGGTACTACTGGTATTCAGAAGCAGAAGGCTAAGGATGCTATTAAATGACTCCCTTGCACAGGAGAACCTTCAGGAACAGAGTTATCTGAGAGGCCAAGAGTATAGAGTTAAAGAAACTGGCCTGATAAACTGGGGGTCCTGAAATTGCAAGTACATTTTAGTTCATGTCTTGATAATCCAATAAAGGTTGCTAATTAAGTAAAAGGAAGATCTATGTACATGGAATCCCCGTGGACAGGATGGTGACAGAACTTGTAAATTAAATCAGAGAACATTCTGATGAATTTTCAGTGCTGCCAATTTATATGTAAATTACATTTATGATAATGGAAACTATTTGCAGGAGAAATGCCAGTGGAGCAGAAGTAGATTATTTCCTGCGTGCCAGGCCACTCAGAGACACGACACACCCACACGTACACCCAACTAGGTAGATTTAGGGGCTGAATTTGGGCTTGTTTGTTTGTGGGCCACCCCCAGGAGCACTTGGTGCTTCTCAGGTCTGTGTGGTGCCAGGAATTGAATCTAGGGCTCCTGGATGCGAAGCACACTGTGCTCAGCCCCTGCGCTGTCTCCTCAAACCCTCTGCAAGACTTGCCTTTTTGAGGGGTGAGGTTTGGGTCACACGTGGCTATGCTCAGCAACCGTATGTGGTAGTGGGAATTAACCTGGGTCCATCAGATTCGAGGTGCCTTCCCCACAGTAATATCTGTCCCGTTGGTCCCAAGACTTTTCTTAAGCATCATGATAGGGTTAAAAGCCCAGACTCTAGAACTGGGATGTAGAGCACTGTATGGCCCTGACTTCTTTGATCCCCCTTCTCTCTCTCTCTCTCTCTCTCTCTCTCTCTCTCTCTCTCTCTCTCTCTCTCACACACACACACACACACACACACACACACACACACACACACACAGGAAAAAAACGGAGGCAGGAGGCATAGGACACCGGATAAGGTTCGATCCTACCACATATGGTCTTCTAAGCACTGATTCCTCAGTGCAGAGCTGGGAATGAACCCTGACTGCTGTCAGGTGTGACCCCGAACCCCTTACTCAGCCACAAAAGGAGCCTCTAGATCCAGATAGGAACTTAGCCCTTCCCCCTCCCTCTTTTTGTGACTCTGTTTTTTTTTTTTTTTCCTTTTGGGTTTTGGGGCTTCACCAGACAGTGCTCAGGGCTCATAGCTGACTCTGCTCAGGAGTGGTGCTTGGGGAACCATACCATTGTCTCAGGATCAATTCTGGGTCAGCCGTATAGCAAGGCAGGCACCATACCCGTTATACTGTCTCTCCGGTCCCTCTTTTTGTGACCTTTTCATTCATTCATTCATTCATCATCCTGTTATTCGTCGATTGCCTCGAGCAGGCCCCAGTAACGTCTCTTTCATCCTAGCCCTGAGATTATATTCAAGGCTCTTTAGGAGAATGAGACCCATCATTGTTACTGGTATTTGGCATATTTGGTACGCCACTGGGAGTTTGCCAGACTCTGCCCTGTGGGCAGGCTACATTTGATAGCCTGCAAGTTTGTCCAAAGTAGGAATGAGATAATAAGATGTCATAAAAAGATGTCCTGATAAGATGTCGCGCGGCCGCACGGTTCCGGGAGCTGGATTTTATAGTCTCTGAGTCTTGATGGGATTACACGGCGCCAGGGGGCCAGGTGTTGGGTGTGACCCCCGACTACTGGAATTTGGAGGATCTGGGTGGAGGATGCTCAACTCCAATTCGAGTAGGCTTGGAGATCTCAGCCCCGAAACCCGCGTGGCTTTGTCCCTCAGCCAGTACCTTCATGTGTGCGGAGAGAGTGGTCTCAGCATGGTGGTGGCTGGTCCTGGAGGTCTTCGGCTGCCGGAGCCCTGATCGGGGCGGGGAGGAAAGTTCAACCCACTCCCCTCCAAGGGACCCCGGCGAGGAACAGCGAGGCGCAGGGGCAGGAGGCTGCACTGGTCTCGTCCGGGACCTTAGATTATTTAAATCTTTTACGAATCATCTTTTTCATTTCATTTGTTTCAAGCTCGATTGTTTTGTTTTTGTTTTATTTTGGGTCATACCCGGTAATGCTCAGGGGTTACTTCTGGCTCTGTACTCAGGAATCATTCTTGGCAGTGCTCAGGGGACCATACGGGATGCCAGGGATTGAACCCAGGTTGCAAGGCAAAGGGCCCTTTGTACTATCTCTCCGGCCCCTGTTTCAAGTTTGATTCTGACCCATTCAATCTTGTTCCTAGATAAGAGAAGTTTGGATTGTTTTATTTGTTTTATCAGACTTGCGGGCTTACTGTGGAGATGAAGAGACGCACTGCAGGGCTAGAGCAATAGTACAGTGGGTAAGGTGTTTGCCTTGCACGCATCCAACCCAGGTTCCATCCCCGGCATCCTATATGGTTTTCCCCCGGCACCACCAGGAGAAATTCCTGAGTGCAGAGCCAGATGGAACCCCTGAGCATCGCTGGGTGTGATAGCACAGCGGTAGGGCGTTTGCCTTGCACGCAGCCAACATGGCCAACCCAAAGAGCAAAAGAAAAAAATGAAGCACTGCATTTAGAGCACTTAGAACATGCATGGCGTGCATGCCTTGGAAGTCTTGGCAGGGGCCTGAGGAGATAGTACACCTGAGTACAGGTGCTGAGTGCAGAGCCAGGATGGCCCCAGACCGCTTCCCGGTGTGGCCCCCCAGACTGACGGGAAGTGCTGCTGCTGCTGCTGTCGTTGCCTAGCTTCTCCTCTGTGCCTCTCTTTCAGCTTGTTGCTATGGACAGCGCCATCACCCTGTGGCAGTTCCTCCTGCAGCTCCTGCAGGACCCTCAGCACAAGAACACCATCTGCTGGACCTCCAACGACGGGGAGTTCAAGCTTCTGCAGGCCGAAGAGGTCGCTCGTCTCTGGGGCATTCGGAAGAACAAGCCTAACATGAATTACGATAAGCTCAGCCGAGCCCTCCGATACTACTATGTAAAGGTAACACGCGTCCTTAGGTGACTGATATCTATAGAGAGAGCTTCAAAAACAAAAATCCTGCCCACTCTTCGTGCGAGGTTACAGGCTCTACTGTCCTGGTTTATTTTAACATGATCTAGGTGATGGTTTCAGTTTGGGGAATGGGGTGGAAGATATGCATGGTCCAGGTTTATTTCTGCAAGCCCTTATTTACTGTCCCACTTTAATAAGGATATTATTCCTAATTGCATTTTCCCTCAGGTTAAAAAAAAAGTGAATATAAAATGTTTTAAAAAGAAAAGAAAGGGGACTGGAGTGATAGCGCAGTGGGTAGCGTATTTGCCTTGCATGTGGCCGATTCAGGTTCAATTCCTACCATCCCATACGGTCCCCCAAGTACCACCAGGAGTAATTCCTGAGTGCATGAGCCAGGAGTAACCCCTGTGCATCGCCGGGTGTGACCCAAAAAGCAGAAAAAAGAAAAGGGGAATCAGAACAGTAGTACAGTGGGTGGAGTGCCTGCCTTGGACATAGCCAACCCAGGTTTGATCCCCAGCACCCATGTGGTCCCCTCGGAATGATCCCTGAACCTTAGGCCAGGAGTAAACCCTGAGCACTACTGCGTGTATTCCCAAACCCATAAGTAAATAAATAAATAATAAGAAGCAGAGAACAAAAAAGAGCATGGGGTGTGACCCAGTGCTGAAGCGCTTGCCTTGCTGTTTGTGGTTAGATAAATCAAGAACAGAGACACTCCAGCCAGCTCTCTCTCTCTCTCCTGAACTGTGCGCAGGAGGTGAGTTTATCAGGATGCATAAGAATACTTGCTTTATTTATCTGCAGAATATCATCAAGAAGGTGAACGGTCAGAAGTTCGTGTACAAGTTCGTCTCTTACCCGGAGATTCTGAGCATGGACCCCATGACGGTGGGTCGGATCGAGGGAGACTGCGAAGCCCTGAGCCTCGGCGAGGTCAGCGGCAGCTCCAGAGAGACGGAGAGCGGGGGCCGCGAGAAGCCCCCGCAGCCGGGTGGCAAGACCTCGAGCCGCAATGACTACATCCACTCGGGCTTATATTCTTCGTTTACGCTCAACTCTTTGAACTCCTCCAATGTGAAGCTTTTCAAACCTGTAAAGAATGAAAATGCAGCCGAGCGGCTGGCAGAGAAAAAGTCTCAGGAGCCAGCCCCTTCCGTCATCAGATTTGTCACCACCCCTCCCAAGAAGCCGCCTCCCGAACCTGTGGCTGCCGCCCTTGCCACGGGCCCAAGTATCTCTCCGCCTTCCACAGAGACCATCCAAGCCCTGGAGACGTTGGCTTCCTCCAAACTGCCTTCTCTGGAGGGCCCTGCCCCGGCCCCCCGGGCCCCCCCTGCCTTCCCCCCGCCGCTGCCCGTGTCCTCCATCTCCCCGTTGCAGGAGCCAGCTAGAACCCCCTCCCCACCGCTGAGTTCCAATCCGGACCTTGACACGGACATGGATTCCGTGGCCTCTCAGCCCGTGGAGCTTCCCGAGGACTTGTCCCTGGAGCCTGCAGAGCAGGATTCGGCTTTGCCAGAAAAGGACAAGACCAGCAGCTCCTCGAGATCCAAGAAACCCAAAGGCCTTGAGCTGGCGCCCACTCTGGTGATCACAGGCAGTGACCCGAGCCCCCTGGGGATCTTGAGCCCCTCTCTCCCGACTGCGTCTCTTACTCCGGCTCTCTTTTCACAGGTAACGCTTTCTTTTCTTAGTGCCACCAACGTTTGGGTTTCCTCACCTTGGGAGAGAAATCCAGAGCTGGCAGCAGTAGGTTTGCCTTAGAGGGCCGTTAGGACACTGGGTGGGGGGTGGGGGGAGCCAATTTCTCACCTTAGTGTAGTATTGCCAGAATAGAAACGCAGGAGTGTTGTATTAAAAATTCATTATTAATGAATGTGGGATGTGACTCTGTGGTAGAGCACTCGCCTGGTATGTGTGATTTTAATCCTTAGCCAACACTCCCACCCCCTATAAAACAAAACAAAATGAAGTAGAGCAAAAAAAAAAAAAATCCCAGCATTCATTGTTCTATAAAGAGACAGATATTTTCATATTTCTACTTTTTCTTGGGCTGGAGCGATAGCACAGGGGTTAGGGCATTTGCCTTGCACGCAGTTGACCCAGGCCTCCGTCCCTCTCGGAGAGTTCGGCAAGCTACCGAGAGTATCCCGCCCCGCACAGCAGAGCCTGGCATGCTCCCCGTGACGTATTCGATATGCCAAAAATGGTAACAAGTCTCACAATGGAGATGTTGCTGGTGCCCACTTGAGCAAATCGATGAACAATGGGAGGACAGTGCTACAGTGCTACTTTTTCTTTGCAAAAGTAAAATGCTTGGCGGACTGGAGCAATAGTACAGCAGGTAGGACACTTGCCTTGCATGTGACCAACCCAGTTTCGATCCCAGTCACTACATAAGATCCCCTAAGCCCCACCAGGAGTGATCCTTGAGCACAGAGCTTGACTAAGCACTGAGCATTGCTGGGTGTGGCCCAAAAGCTAAAATAAATATATATTTTTAATTATATAATAAATATATATTTTTTTAAATTTTTTAAAAGCTGGTCATCTTATTTTTTTTTAAACTCAAGTTAGAAAACAAAATATCTGAGAACATTAAGAAGAGTTACTTTTGGGGCCAGAGAGATTTAACCTGTGGGGTAAGGCACTTGCCCCATCCTGCGGGTTTGATTCCTGGCACCACATGTAGGTCCCCAGCACCCCCAGAGATCACTCCTGGATGCAGAGCCAGGAGTAAGCCCTGAGCATCGCCGGCTGTGGCCCCAAAACCAGCAAACAGAAGTTACTTGAGTGATGCTGGATACCAAGTTTGTACAGTCACATTAGAAACTTAGCTTGCGTATCTCGTGTAACATTTGAGTAAATAACACCCAGACCGATTAGTAATGAAAAGACACGTTTCTGACTCCTCTCCCCATTATTTTTCTCTGTCTCTGAATTCGACCCCGTTAGAAAATAGCTGAAAGAGTTGATCTTTATTTTGTTTCGGTCTAGGCATGATTTCCTGTGAGTTTTTCCTTACGATGAAGTTTCAGACTTGGGAGGGTATGGGGTGGTGACCAGACTAGCGTACGGGACTTGGTACAGGACTCGGGCCAGGCTGTGTCCCCACTGAGCATTCTCTCTCGCTTGTTGCAGACGCCCATCCTGCTGACCCCGAGTCCCCTGCTCTCCAGCATCCACTTCTGGAGCACGCTCAGCCCTGTGGCCCCCCTGAGTCCCGCCAGGCTGCAAGGTGCTAACACGCTTTTCCAGGTAAGTAGCATGGAAGCCCCTCGCTCGTCCCTGGGTGTGTCGAGTGGAGAGAGGTAGGAAGGCAGGGTCTGACGGCTCCTCGCCTGCGGTAAACATACTGTTGAGTTCCTCAGCCTCCGATGTGCTCTTCTGTTCCTGAGTGCGGGTTTCCTGAGCGCAGACTGCTCTGCTGTTCAGGCTCCTCCCTGTGGTGCCTGGGCTGCACCAGATGGTGGTCATGGGGCCACGCAGGGGCGGGGGTTGTGCTCAGGATGTTGTCCACACGGGGCTCATGCTCCGTCACTTGAGCTCTCTCCCTGGCCTAAACTGATTTTTTTTTTTCAATAGAACACATTCTTAAGAATAGTATATAAAATATTCCCATTTGTCCATCACTCAGAATTGATAGCATTTAAATTGAAAAAAAAATTTTCTTTTCCATGGGTGCCATCCCCAGCTGTGCTCACAGCTTTCTCCAGGCTCTGCACTCACGGATCACTCCTGCTGGGGCTTGGGGAACCACTATGAGGTGCTGGGCATCAAAATCGGTTTGACTGTGTCAATGCCTTACCCATTGTCCAGCCCCTAGAATATATATATATTTTTAATGACTATCATAACTTAGCCAAGATCTCAGGAAAACTCAGTTTTTAAGCAATGATTTGCCACCAAAATATCTAGACTTTCTAACTTGTATGCTTTTTGCCTTTTTTTTTTTTTTTGACTTTTTGGGTCACACCTGGTGATGCACAGGGGTTACTCCTGGCTCTGTACTCAGGAATCACCCCTGGTGGTGCTCAGGGGACCATATGGGATGCTGGGAATCGAACCCGGGTCAGCCACGTGCAAGGCAAATGCCCTACCCGCTGTGCTATCACTCCAGCCCCAGCCTTTTTTTTTTTTTTAATGTAGGACTATTACTATTTATTCAGCCATTGATTAGGCTGATTGAATTGGGCATGAACTCCACCTTACTTTTTTTCCCCCCTTTTTATAAATTTATTGAATCACCATATGAGCAGTTACAAAGCTTTTGGGTTTAAGTCTCGGTCATACAATGATGTTTCACCCGTTCCTTCGCCAGTGCCCATTTTCCACCACCAAAAACCCCAGGATACCCCCCCTTCTACGCCCTCCCCCTATCTGTGGGGCAGATGATTTCCACACTACTGTCTGTCTATTTTGATTATATTCAATATTTCAACACCAGACCCACCATTATTATTTGGGGTTTTACCCCAACACTCAGATCTGCTGAAAAGGCAACCGTAGACAGTTTGTTTTCTATTGCTGGTTATGAATAACATATGATGTTGCGTGGCCACAGTAAAATTCCAAAATTTTAGCAATTAAATGTGGAGGAATTTCTGCCAAAACCTGCTGGGTGCTGAGATTTGTTCCTGAGTCTCTGGGATCATGGCCATTAAGCAGCTTGATTGGGAGCCAGAGAGGCCGTTTGTAGGCAGCGACTCGGGGTCTCATAGGGGCAGAGAGGGAAGGGCTGGCTCTACCCCTATCCCCGGTGAGGACCCACGTGTCTTCTCACTGCGGGCCCATACCTGATTGTCCAGTAACCTGTGGAGGATGTCGGCCACCGAGCCGCCAGGGGGAACAGGCCAAGGAACGAAACCTATTCCCACCTGGGGTTGCCTGGTGCTTGTTAACTACTGCAGAGACTGGAGGCATTTCTGCCACTTGTATGCTTTCTTGTAGCTGATTTCTTCTTCTTTTTTTCCCAGGGGTGAAATTTTCCCTGGAAGATTTTCTTAAATTTTGTAATTTATAACTATTTTTCCTCTAGGAAAAAGAATGATAAGGGTAAATAAGAAAGGTAGTATATTTTAGTTTTGCTCATAAAACGTTCTGGATTACTGAAGAGTGCTGATAATGTTCCTTTTTTCTTTTCACATTTGTCTTTGCCTCTCACCAACAGACCCTTGAGCAGTCAGAGGTCAGCAGCGACCTGTGCTCATGTCCCCTCAGTCTGGAGTCTCCCTCCAGGGGTGTATTATGGGGGTGGGAAGGGTGGGGGGGATGGGGGCGGGCAGGAGGGAGCTTTTTCCTTGGGTGACCAGGAAACTCATTCATACCAGCTACAGAGTTCAGTTGGGTGTTTCTTGACTTCCTTTTGTCAGACTGATTGTCTGGCTTTATAATTGAATCATAGTCGATAGTGTATGTTAACATTACTAAACTTTCTAAAGCTTTCGCCTGAAATTAAAGAAAACCGGTTGTACCTTAGATAAGGGAACTATGTAGGCTTGTTCTTTGTTCTATTAATGAGGGAGGAGAGTGTTAATGCTTAATATGTAAGACAACTATTTTGGGAGCTTGGAGGGGCACACCCAGCTGTGCTCAGGGCTTACTCCTGGCTCTGCGCTCAGGATTTACTCCCTGTGTGGTCTGGGGGCGCATCTGGTGTGCCAGGGAATCAAACCCTATTCGGCTGCATGCAAGGCAAGCGCCTTACCTGCTGTACTATCACTCTGACCCCTGTAAGACTTTTTTCTTTAAAGATTTTGTTACGCCAGCGTACTCTTCGGTGATTCACAGCCACTGCAGGTGACTGTCCGGTTCCGCCTAGGAACTGGGGTGGGGACAGACAGTGAAACTTGGAGCGGAGTAATGAGGTGATTGTGTGTTTTCTCTTCTTCCTCAGTTTCCTTCTGTGCTGAACAGTCATGGGCCATTCACTCTGTCTGGCCTGGATGGACCTTCCACCCCCGGCCCATTTTCCCCAGATCTTCAGAAAACATAACCTCTGCACTTGCAGAATGAGAGAACCAAGGACTGAGGAGACAGAGACATCAGCGTGGTTGCAGTGAAGTGAGCGATTGATCATCCTATAGTGCTGGTGACAAACCATGGAGATTTGGGCTGTTCCTCCACTGAAATGCCTTGATAGGGTTCCCTTTGAGAAGAACTCGAGTTGGAACTGTGTGTAAAGATGCCTTATTGGAGTCCAAACTCCATTGCCCTCTTTATCAACTTTTTTTTAAAAAATATTTTTAGTTTTATTTTAATAAATGTTTGGCAGGATTAGCAGCTATGCTTTGCAAGAGGAATCAAGAGCAAAGTTATTCCTGCCTTATCAGAACACTTTGCCTGGAAAAAAAAAACTATGCCTCAAGTATATTATTTAAGGATAGACTAGTTCAGTGAAATGGCACTATTGCCATTCAGCGAAATTGGTCCTATCTTCAAGACTAAGCATATTCTGTTGAATAATTAGAAGTGAGCTGTATGTAAGCAATAGGGCGAAAAGAATCATTCCATTTATACGGAGTAAGAGTGGAATGGTGCCATTTCTACTTTCTCCGAAAGCAGAATGGGGGGGAAGAGTCTACTGTTGTCAGCTGTAACATATGTAAGTAATTCTGCAAAGCGACACCTTTTCTCGCTGATTCAGGGTGGGGTGCTTAGCCCTTTTCGTAATCTCGCCTCAAGCCTGTCACTAGAGCATGGATCCATTCCGCCACAGGAAGATGATTTAACGTGGGGTTTGAGACAGTCTTGACAACAACCCATGGGTGTAGAGGACATATCAGCACAGAAATGTCTGCTCTCCGAGGCGTATGTTACAGCATGGTTTCGGGGGAGGATGGGGCTGGGGTTTGAAACCTCGAGGCATCTCAGAGGAGAAGATGGAGCTAGATCCAAAACAGCACGTGGGCTATTCCCAGCCAGAAGGTACCCATTGTGAATGACCCCTTCCTTCTGTCCTTTTTACCCTGTTTTCTACTACTATATATTTATCGTCTTTGAAACTGAAGGTTATTAGAGGTTGTGATACTTTCAGAGATTTAATTAGGAAGAGGAAAAGCAAAGTAAAGCAAATTGTTCTAACGAGGGAGAAGAGTTCCCTTGAAACGCTCCTGTTGGGGTTGGAGTGTGCCCGTCCGTCGGTGGTGACGAGCGGAGGCTTCACGGCGGCATGACCGACCACATAGAATCTTTCCATCAGGTCATTGGTGCCTGCGGCAGAGATGTGTTCGTTTCCCCAATCTGAATTGATGTATTGTACCAGTACCACTTTGGAATCTTTGGGAAACTTGACTTTAAGGTCTGAGATTGGATTGTATCCTGCCATAGTGGCACCACCAGCCCTGCCCATTTAACTCGTCTTTTAACCCTGGAAACAGTTTATACAGTTCAGTCACCGGAACTAAATGGAATGAGAGAGTAAGGACTTGAGGGCTGAAAATGACACTGATAGAAACCAGCATCTTCCAGCTGTTTAATATTTGCTTTAATTTGTTTATAAGAGAAGCTTGTACATGATCAAGACATCTCTCTAGGGTTTTGGTAGCAGAGGGACAATATTCAGGGAACTGCTTTTATACTCGTAGAATATAGTGACCTGTTACTAGTTTTTTTTGTGTGTGTGTGGTCATCAGCCTAAAGTTCTGTTTCTGAGATGTGCAATACTAGTGTTGAGAGGTAGTATTCAATAGTGAGGGGGAGCAAACCTTATGAATTTTTCCCCCCTATTGGAGTTGTTTGTTTGCATGCCTCTTTGAAATTAAATCTCTCAGCAGCACTTTGGAATTGTTCTTAGTTAATTAGGTTAATTAACATTTTGTACATTAAGGAAATGTTTTGGTGGCTCGATTTAACTAGATTCTTGACATTTTGAAAGCACAAAAAAAGTATTTATCTTTTTTAATTGAAGGAGAAAAAGCCATTGGTTTGTTTTTGTAAATGATACCTTTGATAATCATCTCGACACAGGGGTGCCTAGGAACAGGGGGCAGAGTGACTTCCTAGGAGCTTGTCTTATTGCCCACTGGCTGTCCACTGGCTCTGTACCTCCCCTTGAAGCCTCTGAGAGGTGATGATGATTTTGTTCTCTTTGAGATCAGCCAATCTGGGGAAGTACTTGTTTCCCGTTTTAAATGAAAGTTTACAACCTTAGCTCCAGTGTATGAGGCAGACCATTCTGTTTGTAAACTACCTCCCAGAAAAGTCTCCATTTCATCTTTTTTTTTTTAAAGAAAAGAAAAATCTACAGAGTTCTTAGCAGGAAAAGGTGATGCACACCACTTCAGATCCAGATTCACTGCAAAGACTTTGCCTTGGGGCTCTGTGGCTGGAATTCATTCTTCACTTACCACTTGCCCGAGGTGAAAAGGTGTTGAGCGGAAGTGAGCGGAGTTCCAGCGGAGTGTGCAGAGTGAGCCCTGAAGGGCCTGCTCTGATCGCCACCGCTCTCCTCTGCTCTGGCCCCTGGCCGGAAAGTGCTTATTACCTAGGTTCTCTGAATCCAGAGCATCTTCTGCTTTCCATGATATGAGTTCCTTTACGTCCCGTGGGACTTGAGATCCCCCACCGTGAACTGAGAAGGGATCTGGCCCTGGTGTCTGTCCCCGCTGGCTTTGCACAGCTCTGCTGAAACCGTTGTTCTCGTTCACCTGCCATTGTCTAATTACATATCTGACTTCACCTTTTCTTGTTTGTTTTTTTTTCCCCCCAGTCCTTTTGTATGGCATTTTCCTCATGGCAGAGTTTCCACTCAGGTGGAAGCATTGATTTTTTTTATAAAGAAAAACAAAAGCTTGTACATAATGGAAGAATCATAAAACCATTTTTAAAAGGGTCAGGTTAAGCTTCTTAGAATTCAGCTATATGCATTTTCTGTTTCTTTTGATGAGGAAAGTAAGTCATGAGCCTGTAGACTTAAGAAGTACTGGATATTTTTTTAAAACTGGAAAACCCCTTTGAAGGTTTATATGCTGTTGGAGAAGATGAATGGAGGCAGGGCCGGCTGTGGAGTCTGTTTACCTGGCACTGCTCCTGTTTCTCTCCGTAGTAGCTTGCCTCCTCGGTCTGGGGCCGATGACTCAGAGGCTGCAGTTGGGACGCTGATGCGGCAGGCTATGGTCTCTCTCTTCGGTCCTTCACATCTGTCGTCCCGCTCTCCATCTGTGTGCCAGCCTCACTTGGAGAAGGCAGTTTTGTACGGTTCTAACCATTCGCCCCTCTTCGAGGCGCTCACGGGCATTTCAGAAAGCAGCCGCAAACCTATTTTGAACACATCTGTTTTTTTTGAACATCAAGTCTCTTGTTTTAACTTCTCCCTCGGTGTGCTGTTCTGTACGTGGTGAGGCCTTCACAGTAGTGATGGAGCATGGCGTGTAAAGCAAACCTTGATAGTAGAACTTCCTGTGTTCTTTTCTTTTCCTCACCTAGTTAGGGCACTCGCTCTAGCTAACCAGCACTGACTCGGGATATTCATGGCCTAATTTGGAGGTCAAAATGTGGGCAGGTGGCTTTGGTTGTGATACATGGAGAAATCCCCTACATATTTGATTCAGTTTCCATGTAAAATCTCTTAGGAGATTTTGAATTTTTTCGGGAAAACTTGTTAGCGGCTTTCTGAAATTCCATGTGAAATAGTTTTTCATAAATTGCTCAGTAACCCATCATCTTTTTTTTTTTTTAACGTCACACCTAGCTATGCTCAGGGGTTACTCCTGGTTCTGCACTCAGGAATTACTCCTGGCGGTGCTAGGAGACCATCTGGGATGCTGGGAATCGAACCCAGGTCAGCCGCATACAAGGCAGACGCCCTACCCACTGTGCTATTGCTCCAGCCCCCATCATCATTTTTTACCTAGAACTTCACACACTTATTATTGACTGTGGTCTCTGTCCTCTTCATATTAGGTGTGATTAAGTTTACTGTAATTGTTAATATGCTTACATACTTCTTAAAGCACATTTATGTTATGTTATACCAATGAATTCGAACTCATTTTAGGCTTTACCTTAAATATGTGATAATACTAATCTCCATTTTTTTTGCCGTATTTAAAAAAAATTTTTTTCCATTTGTAACATTTTGACATCTGAGAGTCTTTTTGCTCATGGTTTTGTTCTGCTCCTCACTTCCCTTGGCACAACCGGAAGCCCAGAGTTGCCCCGAGGGGTCATTGTGTCGTGTGGTGTGGGTGGGTGCAGGCTTGGGGAAGCAGGCGTCTCTCTGCTGGAGCTCTGGATGAATTGCCAAACCACTGGAAGCTAAACAGTGAAGAGATTGCTCCTGACACAGTCTGTTTTGTGAGGGGATGACCGAATGTGTTATTTCTGAGATGGGCTGGAGGCGCTTGCTCGTGGTGCCGTTACAGAGCCCCGCCGTAACTGTCTTTAGCAGTTACTCGGAGCAGAGATGGGGAAAGTATTTTCTTGCTTACCTGTCTGGTTTGGAGTTAGCAGAGAAATGCTTTGCTACTGTGCTGCTGGCGTTGCCTGAAGCAAGCCGCCCCATCAGTCCCTCCTGTGTTCGAGACCTGCTCCCTCCAGCTGAAGGGTTAGTTCTAAAATTTGTGTGGGTGGGACTGTGTTAGGCAAGAGACAAGGCGGTTTGACTTCATTTCTCATACTTGGTGGAACCTGCTAGCATGAGAGTCAAGTTCAGGCCTGTGCGCAGCCAATCTGGAGGGCTGTTGTTGCCAGTACAGATGATCCTTCTGAAGCTGCCTTCTGCAAGCTACTTTTCTGGGGAGAAAATACTGGGGTAGATTGACCAAAAATTAGGGTAAATGATCCAGAAAACAGCCATGTCTAGGGTACTGCCATCACACTTAGCCACTCTAAGAGCTAGAAGTGTGCATGCTTTGTGTATATAAGAGGGGAAAGGTTGGCTCCAAGCTTTTATTTTTTTTTATATAGCAGCCAGGACTTTGATGCCGTTGTTAACAGTATTTTAAATGAAATAATCAAACATAGTAAGTCTCTTGAACTCGACTCTTTTCGGTGTAGTTGTATGAGGTTTAGAATTTTATTTTTTAAGTTTTGGTAGACTAGAGTATTTCTTTCCAAGTCATTCTGATTTATTGGCTGAGCACATATGTACTAACAAACTGAGTATGTTTTTCTGTTCTTGTACCAGTAAACATGTTTTTCCAAGGGAGCGCACAGTACTCATCCTTCAGGGTGGCTTATAGGCTATTTTATATACTAAAACTGAAAAATAGGCTGCACTTTGCAGTTCTCACTTTTTAAGAATCAGTACCTTGCACATTTCAGCTTTTATAAAAATGTAGACTCATAGGCCTTAAAGACAAATTGCTTGCCAATGTTTCAGAAATACAATGTGATATATTCTAAACAGTCCTCTTAAACTATTCTTTTTGTTCTAGTCTTTCAGCAAGTGAAGCTGTCTGTTCACAAAATTTCTATTTTTGCTTTTGTGAAAATGCTTATGTGGGTGCTAAGATTTCCAGAGAGGAGGTCTGTACTAGAAATAGCATTCTAAAATACAGATTTCACCAAGAATGGATGAAACAATCAAGAAACTCTGACACTGTAGCTATTTGTTCTCTGGTAACACACATAAGAAGCAGAAGCGTGAGAGTATGTTGGGCTGAATTTTCTCAACTTTGTCTTGAGATGGGAACATCTCATAAGAGATTAATTCTGGGTCTTGTCTCTTCCCAGGATGTTGACCCTGGGATCTTCTGGGGGGTGGGGGGGGGGAACATGCCCTGTGTGGGGTCAGGGTTCTAGAG